TTATTTAGGTATAACCGCCTACCATTTGGGGTGGCATCGGCCTCCGCCATTTGGCAAAGAGCAATGGACTAGGTACTACAGAACATTCCGTTCACATCATGCATTCTCGATGACATGATCATCAGCGGTAGGTCAACCGAGGAACACTTAAACAACTTGGACACAGTCCTAGAGAGGTTGAATACATACAACCTGAGAGTGAACCGTGAGAAATGCGAATTCTTCGAAGATAGCGTTACCTATTGTGGGCACATCATAAATTTAGAGGGTTTGCAGAAATCACCAGACAAGATTAGTGCTGTTCTTAATGCCCCCAAACCAGAAAATACGCAGCAACTTCGTTAATTTTTGGGTCTCATTAACTATTATCGACGGTTTCTTCCGAACTTATCTTCAGTTGTGGCACCCATGAATGAACTACTACAAGGAGAGAAAGTCTGGAAATGGACAAAAGCATGTGATGAAGCCTTCAGTACAGTGAAAGAACTTGTAACTTCAGACCAAGTTTTGTGCCACTACAACCCTGAACTGCCAGTGAAGCTTGCTTGTGATGCATCCCCATACGAATTAGGAAGTGCACTTTCCCATGTCATGCTTGACGGTACGGAACGACCAATTGCATTCGCTTCACGATCCTTAACGAAAGCTGAGAAAGATACGCTCAGATTGACAAGGAAGCACTGGGTCTGTATTGGGGAATGCAGAAATTTCACAGTTACCTACATGGTCGTCGTTTCACTTTGATCACCGACCACAAACCTCTGGTCAGTATACTTCACCCCCATAAATCTATACCTGCGATGACTGCTGCTAGACAACAGAGATATGCACTTTACCTTTCGGGTCATACTTACGACATTGAGTATCGCAATACACACGCCCATGGAAACGCTGACTGTCTTAGTAGATTACCTATGCCTACAGCTAAAGTTGATTACATTGACGAAGCGTCATTATTCTATACATTGCAGATTGAGCGATTACCCATATCGAGCACCCAGATACGGAAGGAGACACAACGTGATCCAGTATTGTCACATGTGTTGAAAGGAACTAACAAGCTTCCAAACGACGAGATTTTCAAGCTTTTTCATAGCCGTCTTACTGAGCTCACCTGTCACCAAGGCTGCATCATGTGAGGAAATCGCGTACTCATTCCAGAAAAACTTCGTACCGCCATACTCGACGAGTTACACAATGGGAATATTGGTATCGTTAAGATGAAGAGTTTAGCGCGCTCCTACGTATGGTGGCCTAACGTTGACATCGAAATCGAACACGGTTGTAAGGCATGCATTAGTTGTCAGCAAACCAGTAAAATGCCGAAAGCTGCTCCAGTACATCCTTGGGAGTGGACATCTACCCCATGGGATCGCTTACATGTAGATTTTGCTGGACCATTCATGAACTGTATGTTCTTGATCGTCGTCGACGCCCATTCAAAATGGCCGGAAGTCTTTCCGATGAAGTCAACGACAGCATTGCGGACGATTGAAAAGCTACGTATTCTTTTCAGTCAATGCGGAATTCCACGACAATTAGTCACCGACAATGAATCGCAGTTTACCTCTGAGGAATTCCAAATTTTTATGAAGCAAAACGGAATATTATGGATATAGGATGATAGGGTACTTCAGCACCCTACCACCCGCGCACCAATGGATTGGCGGAAAGATTTGTGCAAACATTTAAAACAGCCATGAAACAGGCGAAAGGAGATCATCAAAACCATTCTCTACAGGATCAACTAAGCACCTTTCTGTTTAAATACAGAACGACACCTCATACACTTACCAAGGAAACACCTGCAAAGTTACTCTATGGACGTAATTTAAGAACGAGGTTAGACATACTAAAACCTGACTAAACTGCCAAAGTATTGGAAGGTCAGGATCGCATGAAGTTCTCGAAGCACTGCGGCGCTAACGTTAGAGAATTCGAGTCTGGACAACAAGTGATGGTACGTGATTACCGCAGCACAAACACAAAGTGGATACCAGCTCAAATTCAAGAAAAGACTGGACCGCTTTCTTACACTGTCAACCCAGGAATGGGGACATTGCGGCGACGTCATACTGACCAACTACATCCTACTGCAGTTAAGGTTACACCGACTGTAACTTTGAGCCCAGATAACACACAATCATTAACTGATGCTTCAAAACCAGAAAGCCTTATTTCGACAGACATCAAGGAAACATACATGCCTACCACAATTACACCAACTACGGAATCACCATCTACACTGAAAGCAGAACATGTACGACGTTACCCAAGGAGGGAAAATGTTCGCCCACCAGACAGACTGAACTTGTGAATAATAAATAACTGTGCACAAGAAGTTATTTTAGTTGAACTGATGTTCATTTTATTCAGAGTTAACTGTACAACCGAACTTTAATTCATAACTACTAATTACTGTACAATACTGATGATTGAACATTAATTGTAACTACACCAGATTGGTAACTGAAAGTCTAATCTAATCTAACCAGTATGTAAATGCAACTTACTTTCAAAACAAGCCTTGTTACAAATGTTTATTTCTTTAAATGGAGGGGAGGATATGTTATATATGCATAGTCCCAGATTACTGCGCTTACGGCGCTCCATACTACTTGCTGTTGTTCTTGAATAAATGGAGTTTGATAGTTTACACGCCTTGTTCTGAACCTACATATTTTTACATTTGTTATCAAGACATAACAGTGAATATGATACCATGCACATGTATACCATGATCGATTATTTTTAGGACGCTATTCTGCCAATCCTATTTTGAACAACTATCAGTACATATATAACAATAATATATCACAAGAACATAGGCCTACTGATACACACCTCATCTGGATCATCTTTGAATATATATTATTCCACCTGTACATTCCCTATGTTCGGAAATCTGCCATGGACTATCATGTCTCTCCTATCAGGAAATGTTAGTTTCATTCGCACTGATACATCATCGTAGCTTGGCCTTTTCTTTGTGCTCTCTATCTTAAGATACTCAACACGTAAGCCAAGTCAATAGAAGTTTTTGTTTTGTAATTTTTCAAGTCTATTTCTTTTAAAATATGTAAAAAATTGTATTATTATAAGTTGTGGGCCTACTATCTATAATATGACTAGTAAACTGTACAATTATTTATGTATTTATACTGGAGGATACAGTGTACTGGAGTGGATATACTCATATTTATTGTATGAGTTACTGTAGGTGCACTAGGCCACACAGGGCCTAGATATCATGTACCTTGACAGGATATAGTATGTATTATATTGCCAAAACTATCCCTCAAGACCTTAAATACTTTTGATTTCCCAAGTACTTGTAACAATGAATTACATTTCTTATCAATGAATAATATCACAGCATCATTTTACAGCAAAGAATCAAGAATAATTTTTTTAAAAGCCAAATCTCATGGACTTTGTGTGTGATTGCAGCCTTAGTACTAGTATTAAAAATAAAATACTGCTCTCCTGGGGTAGAAGTTAGCTTTGTATTAGGGAAAGCCATCTCTTGCAATTTGCGGTCTACAGGGTGCGTTTATCGAGACGTTTGTGTAACGTGTCTAGAGCCAAGGCAATGTAATAAGGTAGCAGGAGACAATAAAGTAAAATGGTCGCAATATATACTTTAATATAAAAACAATTGATGAGGAGTACACTATTTAGGACTGATGTATTGTCTCTAAAACCAAACTGATTTCCGGATTAAACACAGGTAAATTACGAACACACTGCAAACCACATCCTAACCCCTTGATATTGATTGGATCATGTTGGATAAAATTATAATTTTATGTACGTACTAACAAACTGTTTTGTGAGTAAATGTTGATTTTTTATGAAAATCCTGAAAATACACTTTAAACCTCCAAAAACACAATACAATCTCCTTATTGTGATTGTATCATGTAGTATAGGACTTTCTTTGTATCTCTAAAAAAATTTGTTTTTTGAGGTTTGTTTGGTGTTTTAGAAAAATAATAAATCAATATTTTACCCCCAAAATAGGTTGTATGAACACATTTTTTTTTTGAGATAACAATTGACTGATATTCTACCGTACATGATACAATCATAATCAAAGGGTTTACATGGGGTTTGTGGGGTGTTTCTGGAGGTTTGCTGGGTTTGCAGTGTTTAGCAATACCCGCCTACATTATTGAAACTGGAGAGCTAATGCATGACTACCTACAGTACAAGCTGGCCTAGTGTTACGTGGAGTAGTGCCAAAGTGCGAGCCAGCGAGTCATGCGAGCCAATGTGCAAGTCATGCGAGTCAGCGAGCCATGCGAGCCATACACTTTTTTTTTTCAGGTTATCCAGTTTTGCAAACACGTAGGCCTAGCTTATTCTTTGGCCTAGTAGATGTAAATCAAAGATCTTATAAACACAAGATAGCGTTCTCCGCGATTTACGCGTGCAAATTCTGTAATAAGGCATGAATGGCGCCCTCTTGCTAAATTGGAAACTTTTGACCCTTCACCGCTCTGACCATACTAGGCCATGGGGTGAAGCTCAAAAGACGTCTAGAAAGCGAATTCCGTTCCGATTTTTTCATTATAAAAAATTTAGGCCTACAATAGTTAAGTAATATGTCTTGAATCAAATATAGAAAGTTCGACCAAAATATCTTCTGCAATTTTAAGAAAATTACCGTTTTATTACGTTCCTAGGCTGCTGGTCGTCGGAAAACACACCGCGATACAGCGGTGTAGAAGCACGTCGCGATCATACCATGAGCTGTCCACTTGCGTCAACTCGCATGAAATCGCGTCATTTTAGGTCAAATCGTGTCAAGTAATGTCGGATTGCGTCAGTACACGTCAATTCGCGTCAACTTTCAAATTTCAACAAAAAACTTATTTTATTATTGTATTTGCAATTCTTTGATATTCTTTTCAAAACAATAATTGTGTAACAATTTAAAGAAAACGTATTAGTATTTTGACTTCTTTTAAAGAAAATGTATTAGTATTTTGACTTCTTTTGACTCCTGTGGTCTTCCTTTTGACAATGTGTCTGCATGTTCCCTGTATGTGTACTAAAGTACACACTTCATTCTTACAGTATTTTTGCATTCATATTCCTTTTTTAAAATCATTGTATTTATTTTACTTTCAAATTGTAATAAAGGATTAAATGTGGGGAAATTTAAACTTGATGCATTGTTATGATGTGCATGGATGTATATTTGTTTTGTATACTACGGTTGACACATGTTGGGACACATTTTATTAAATAGAAATTGAAATTTAATACTGTAATATAAAAATTCATATTTATTTCTCAAATATTCTGAGAGCTTATACAATATATAACTCTATATTTATGTACTGTACACGTGTTATACATCTTAATAAAAGCTTCTTGCGCTCTAGTGAGTCTGTTACTTTTTAAATTTTCTATATAATACTTACTAAATAAATACAGTGAAGCGTTTCGCAGTCCTTTGTCATTGTGTGATTATTCTCATGGTTTTAAAGTTCTCAAGGGTTACACCGTTACATTATACGTTACTTATTTTAACTTTTGTACATCATACATAATAAATAAAAATAGATAATGCTTTACATACTCCTGTGTCATTGTGTGTTTAGTCTCATGGTTCTATGTTCTTACATTCTCATGGGTTACACCAGTACATTATAATTTTTAAAAATTTTCTATAATATATCTGTACAAAATGAATAAAAATAGATAATGCTTTACGTACTCCTGTGTCACTGTGTGTTAAATCTCATGGTTCCAAAGTTCTTACATTCTCATGGGCTACA